GATAGATAGATAGATAGATAGATAATAGATAGATAGATAGATGGTAAATAAATAGATGTTCCTCGTACTACCATCGAGTAGTCTTAGAACAGTGAATTGAGTGAATCCAAGATCAGAGGAGTCTGTAACCTAGTATGGAATCTTTGAAGCCATGAGCCAGTACAATTCTTAGAGATCCAGAAGAGCTTCAAAGTGATCCTAGCACAACTAAGAGGCAGAGTGGTTGTTAGGGCCTGCTCTCTGAGGGAGCAAACCCTGTGGAGACTGGTAATTAGTAGAAGTGGAAGGCTTTGTCAACCTTCAGTGTCAACCTTCAGCCTAACTCTAGATCAGCTGGTTTAATATGCAGGCTAGAGAGAACTGGGATGTTCATGTATGTTATCTCTAAGTACAGGCATTTTCCCTCCAGTAATATTTCCGCATCCTGCTTCCTTTATTCTGTACATCTCCAGACTCTGTATGCTTACATGTATCACTGCTCTTGTATATTTATACATTTGTAGGAGTCTGGAGATGGTCAGGGATGCTGCTTCATCTGACAACACTAAGACATAAAGAGAGCCTCCTGACACCTGCCAAAAATTCCAAATGCGTGTTGGTCCTTGGAAAGAGTACAGAAATACTTCATTAGGGTATCGATTGTAGCGATCAGCTGTTAGTAGATGTGTGCCATATATCAACCCTCCACATCCACGGGTTCGCTGTAATTGGAAGATCTGAAACGTTGCATCTGTAGTCAGTACTCATGGAAAGCTTTCTTGTCAAGATTGTCTAAACACTATAGTTAAATGATATTTAAGTGCCATTTAAATTCAATTGACTGTTGTGTTTAGTTTAGAGAGAGCTGAAGTTTGAAGAAGGGCCACATAGGTCACTTTAAAGTACATTATGTTATGTAAGAGCTTTATGAATTCAGTATCCATGGAGGCCTGAAACCAAACCCCACAAATACAGAGGGACAGCTCCATACAGACACAATTTTCTCATGTTTCCAATAGTTTGAAACGCATCTGGTTTTCATATGGTTTTGCTAAATGTTATAGTTAGCAGAGTCATTCTTACACAAAGTCCTCCACAGCCTGAAACTCTTACTCGGCTTTCCCTGCGCCACCCAGCGGAGCATTCTAGCTTTGTGTAGTCGAAACTTAGTGATGACTTATTACTTTAAATTTACAGAAAGTTATTTGTCAATTTATCTGTAAATCTGGGAACTTCTGTTTTTCTTCTGTGATGCTAAATGGTATGGAGCTTTCTCCTCAACTGCAAGGAGGTCATCCCAGAGCAGCAGACACCAGCCCGGAGTCCACCAATCCTTTTAGTTCTTATATTTTGCCTCCACCTAGACAATCTTGGGCCCCACAAGCTGAATGCTCAGCTCAACTCTGCCCACTTAAGGTAATCAGAAGTCCAGGCTTCTGGAACTTCTGATGACCTACAGATTGGTTTCTGGGTGTTCGTTTGTTTGTTTGTTTTATGAGCAACCCCCAATACACACAGGTTTTGGTTATTTTGTTAGAACATCACAACCCACAGAAACATCATGCTTATGTGTACTGCTTAATATAAAGAATATTTTCAACTATACAGATAAAAACCAGATGAAGACATTTATAGCAAGGTCTAGAAGGATCATGAGAACAGAAACACCCACCCTATGGGGTTGAGCTAGACCACCTTCCTAACCCATGGTTAAGTCCTGTTCACCTCCTTTCAGACCTCTACAGCTTCCACAAGCTCTGAACCCCTTTCCATGGGATTTTTTGGAGTCTTGTTACATGTGTGTGATTACTGACAGACTGGATGGAGACCTGAGCAAGGCCTGTCCAGACTCTCGTCAGCCTCTCTGTGCAGGATCCCTGCCCCCAGTATCTGGGGAAGGGCCACTCCAGAGCAAAGGTCATATTGCTTATTACTAGACAACAGTCAGGGAATTTAAGTTCTAAGATCAAAAGGAAGGAGATGATGCGTGCTTCTATGATCTGTATTAGAGATGAGAAGTGCTGATTTCTGTGGCCTGCCTCAAGGAGGGAGTTAGGGTCCAGGAACCATAGGGAAAACCCCAGACAGACAAATCATAGTCTGGCAACTTTAGGTGAAAGCCTCAGTTACCACATGTCGAGGTGTGGAGCTGACCAGATTCCTGCAGCTGGCAGTAATGTTGTGGAGGCAAAATCAGGGCAGCACTTTTGAAGAAATGGTGTATGGATTCCTCTAGAAATAATCTGAAACACTTGAATTTTTTATACCTACTTATTTTTGTTAGGATTTCATGTAGCCCAGGTTGGCCTCATATTCATTACATAGTCAGGCACGACAGTTACCTTCTTGTCCTTCTGTCTCCACACACACAGTATGTACCACCATGCCCAGCTTATGTAATGCTAGGGATTGAACTCAGTGCCTCGTCCATGCCAGGCAACACCCCTATCCCTTTCGGCAGGTAAGGGGGCACCCTGAGTCAGAGCCTTACCACCAGCCTGATATCCTCCTGCCTCAGCCTTCCAAGAGCTAAGATTGCAACCATGCGCAACCACCTTAACATTGCCTGGTTGGAACATCCCATTTTTATTTTTTATTTACTTTTTATGTATTTTGAAACAGGGTCTCATGTATCCCAGTGTAGTTTTCAACTCAATATGTAGGTGACCTTGAACAGAGTTCTGATCCTTCTGCCTCCATTTCTCAGCTGATGGACTTCAGGGTTGGGCTCGGGCATAGTTTCTCACCTCTTAGGAAGTACCCCGCTAACTGTGCCCACAAGTTGTTTAAAACAAACATCCTCAGCAAGAAGGTGCGAGGAGCTGGTACAGTCTCCACTAGCTCACAACGCCCCGGGCTAACCCAGGAGGTGCATTCTTATCGTTTCTCTCGTTTTCTTTTAGAAGAAAGAATCTTGCAGGCTAACAATAGAAAATTCAACTCTCTTTTTGACTATCCGGTAAGTCTCCTGCCACTGACAAGCCAGCAATGGCTTGTGCTCTGTACATTCTCCTTTTGACAGGAGGGAGGAGCCCCTTGTCGATACAGAAACTACAGCATAAATTTCAGTGTAAGCTCCTCTATTATAAATGACACAGTGAAAGCTCAGAAACCAAAATTAACCTGGTGGCCTTCACTTAGGAGAGTGTGTCTCAGATTTTGTATGTAGGTGTGACTCCCATGAAAGAGATACATAGCTTTTCATACAATGACGTCTGAAGTTTTTTTCACTGAGACTTTGATGGCAGCATGTGCATGTTGGCTCCATTTACTCACTAACATGTTGTTTTCCACTTTCCTGATTAACTTTAACTTAGTTACGAGCTCCTGTTGGTGAACATTTAAAATGTACATGATATATGGTGCTGAGTGAACGTCATTGTGTATGTCAGTTAACACTTCTGTGTTTGTACATAATATGAAGTTTCTGGAAGTAAACTGATGAGGCCTAAAGGGAAACACACTAAACAAACAAACAAACTGTGACACATTATTGCGGGTTGCCTTCTGAAAACATCATATCCATTTATATTTCTATGTACCATAGAAAATTACTCACTTCACATTCCTGCCACACTAATCTTGTTTCTGTATTTTTCTGTAGCCCAGGCTGGCTTCAGATTGCTAGCCTTCTACCACGCCTCCCAGTGTTAATAGCTGGGATTGCAGGCATGCCATTTTCCTTTCCATCTTTGCCAGCTCTTACATGAAAATGATATTTCGATATTCATACTTTAAATTTGAGTGAAATTAATCGTCCTCTATGTTAATTAGCCTTTTGTAGTTTTTGAAAAACTACCTGTTAATGCTTTTGCCCAATTTCTTATTTTTCATTTTTTCACTTATTTATTAATGAAGTAATTCATAAAGTAACAAATACATTGTAAAGTCATGCTTAAGCACCCATCTTGCTCACATCTGCTCCTTTATAGGGAGCCACTGTGGCTACTTTCTCTTGTGCTCATTGGTGCCTTCTAGAGTCCATAAAAGAGATGTGAATATATACCCTTTTTTCTATATTTTTACACTATTCTGGACCTTAATGTTTCTCAGAGTCCTAATTATATAACAGCCTTTCTGTTTTTCCTTTTTGAAGATTTCTTTTTCATATTTAGCTTTAAATGGTCCCTTATAAATGACCATTTAGGTTATTTTCATCTTATGTACAAGCAATGCTTATGTTTTCCTTGGCTTGGCTTTTGAAAGAAGGTCTTGCTGTATAACCCAGACTAGCTATGTAACCCACGCTAGCCTTTGGAAGGTCTTGCTGTATAACCCAGGCTAGCCTTGAACTCCTTCAGCACCACCCACAGTGCTGGAATTACAGGCATGCAACACCATCCGACTTCAAAAAGTGCTCTTACAAGCTATTTCTCACACACCCACCACCCCTCTTTTGTCTCTCACACACACAGCATGTGTACATATCACTCTAAGTATATGAAAGTGTACATAGCCACATATATTTGTGGTTGCTGCAGCATTGTAAGGTGTGACTTCTGAGTTAGAGGTCCTGGGTAATAGCCATACTTACAGTGTGGCGGTGGAGCAGGCTTTCCCTCTTTCTATATACAAAACAAAAGAGAAAACTGGGGGTGGGTCAGACAGATGTAATAGTTGATAATAGTTGTGCCCCTTACTCACCTTGAAACATTATACAAGTTGTTTAATTTTTCCAATCCTCACTTCATTCATCTAGATATAAAATAAGTATGGTAACATTCACCTTGTATAATGGATATGGGAGTTAAATACAGTTACAAAAATGTTAGTTCTCTCTCTTCAATATGTTGTCCGATCTCATTTACCTCTGTGTTAATAATTCCTGCCCCATGTAGTGCATACCCTACATTCAATCAATATGTCCTTGAATATTGAGGGAACAGACAGATTAAAAAAAAGTTTTGAGCTGTTTCTACTTGTATTTGCTTTTCATTGTTATTATTATTTGTATCTTACCTATAGGACAATTCCATCAAGACCTCAAAGTATAATTTCTTTAACTTCCTGCCCATTAACCTGTTTGAACAGTTCCAGAGACTTGCAAATGCCTATTTCCTCATTTTGCTAGTCCTGCAGGTATGGCTGCTAAGTCATTTTTCCATTGTATTCTCATCTTCTCTGGGGTCAAATTGTATTATCAGTACCTAGACTGGAAGACACCCTCTTCATTTTGACATTGACAAATGGATAGTTGGAGTCTTTGGCCAGTTCCCTAAAGTAGCAGAAGTCAGGATTAATCAATGTGAGGCAAGCCTGTGTATGAAAGAGACACAATGATGGCCTCCCATGGGAAGGGGCTGCTTCATTATGGCTGTAGAGTCACAGTTTCAATGTGACCATAAGAAACCACAGATTCTCCACCCCAACCCTAACTACAGTCCCATTCCTCTTTCTCATCCCAGCCTCTGTGAGAGGAAGTTGACAATACCCAGGGAGAAGACTGGTAGAGAATGCTAGAGAGCCAGCACAAGGAAATGAATCTGTAGGGCAGGCCCATGTTGAGAGAGAGGGTCAGATCACCTAACTTGCCGTGGTAATAAAGGTGGTTTTCTCTTGTGCACTAGTTTACTAATTCTTTTTACTTTTATGTATGTGCATTGGTGGTCTGCATGTTTGTGTGCCATATGCATGCATGGTACGTACAAAAAAAGGGCATTAGAACCTCTAGAATTGGAGTTATAGATGGTTGGTACTGGGACTTGAACCTGGGTCCTCTGGAAGAACATCCAGCGCTTTTGACCACTGAGCTATATCCCTTTAAGTCTTGCCATAAAAAAAACTCTTAACACTCTACCTTCCAATACCTTTTTTATTGTTGAAGAAGAAATGACTTTTTCCCATTAGGACTAAGGAAGAGACATTCACAACATGTAAGTAGCAACTTGCAGCCTTTTCTTCTTTGGGAAATGCTGCTGGGAATTGGGGTACAAGAAGGCTACAGCAGTGATGAACAGCTAGGACTGGGTTATCATTTAAACCTAAGAGGTGAAAGTATTGATGGAGGTAGCAAACTGGGGGAAGTATGTTATTCCTCACCTAAGAGCTCTTATTTCCTTCTCCAAGTTGATTCCTCAGATCTCCTCCCTGGTGTGGTACACAACTGTGATACCCCTGGTCGTGGTGCTGTCCATAACAGGAGTGAAAGATGCCATCGATGATGTGGTGAAGTGGCTTCCTGGGCTTCCCTCACTATACCTAGTAATTGGGCTGTGGGCTAGAAGACTTCCTAGATCTGCTGTGTGCCAAGCAGCACTACACAGAGCTGTTTCTCATACTTGTTCTCTTATCTATCCCAGAAGTCATAGCGTTTCCATTGGCCCAGACTAGTCATACTTACAGTGTGGCGGTGGAGCAGGCTTTCTGCCTGGCCAGAAAGGGGCAGTGCAAAGCCTTTTTATGCTCCTCCCCTATGGCCCTTCCTCCAGACTTCCTTCTCCTTCTTCTCAGTGCCCAGCCCTTGCCCCTTAGCTTTGTCTGGCTTTGCTCTTACCTTTCTTCATCTGACTCCTCTAATTTCATGTTCCTTTCCCATTTCCCCCTGTTCTCTGCTCCTTTTATTTCCTGTTATAATTCTCTCTTCTCTCCCTCTATACTCCCAAGTGCTCCTGCTTTCCTTTCCAAGTGCCACTTCTGTCTGTCATGCATAGTGAGGAGCTGTTTGCCATGAGCAAAGACCCACTCCTTTCCTGGCATTGGAAAGAGAAACTGGCCTGTTGCAGCCAATGCTAATTGGAGGGGGTCAGCCCCGACCCCAAACCTCCTGGTGGAGTTTGGGAAGCTGTCTTCAGAGAGGCCTGATTTTGTCAAGAAAGATTATGGACCAAAGTATGACATTTCCTGCAACACATTTTTTTAACTTTGTAAAATCTAGGCTTAGCACATATAGTGGTTTAAATTTCAGCCACAACTCAGATATTCAACCTGAGCTACATAAACTCCTTTAAGCTCAGAGCGGCACACATACCCTGCTACCGTCTCTTTCTGGTGGGCTCTGAAAACTCAACTGCAAATGTAAGGCAGCCCAGCTACCCCTGCTTCAGAATTCGGTCTCTTTAGAATAAATGTTGGGAGAACCCGGAATCGTGGAAAACTGAGTATTCTGTGTGCCCCTTCCTAGTCCTGCCCTTCTCCACGAAAGACCTCCAGGTGCAAGGAGGTGGTTCCTGTGAGCCCCTCACTGGGACAGCTGCTGCGTTTGTTCTCTTGCCACCCATAGGTCTTTACTCTTTACTCCCACACCCGCCGTAGACGCCTGTGTGTTTCCCCCGTGGTTGTACAGTGTAGGGATCCCCTGGTGCTGTCTGGCATGTACCCTGTCCTCTTGGCTTTTGATAGAGTAACTTGTTTTTAAGCTCCTAGGCATTAGGTTTTTGACTGTTTAGCCCAAAGATGTGTCTCTTTTCTCCAAGTTATTTTTCTACCTTCCTTCTGAGCTTCCAATGAGCATTAACCTCTTATCCTGGTTTTAATGGTGGGAGGGCTTTGTTATGTGAAAGATTAGAATCAAACAAGAACTACATCGGGTAGTATTTTTAAATGTTTAAATTGTACATGCAGTTATCTGCTTGACTGTCTCCTGAACACTTTCTGTGTGGTTTTAGAAAAGACACCAAAGCGACAAGCAAGTCAACAACCGTTCTGTTTTGATCCTGGTGAATGGCAGGTATGTTCTCTTAGGGAAGCCAGGTTGGGTAGGACCAGAGAGGTCAGCAGTGCCAACATTCAATGCGGGACACTCGAAAAGGTCGTTCAGGACAGTGGCAAGAACTTCACGTTAAACTTCAAAAGAATTGGTTTCTTTTTGAGATGCTGGGAATCAAACCCAAGGCCTCGTGTGTGCTAGGAAGCAGCTGTAAGAACTTGCCGTGGGTGTCTCCATCATGCCCTGAACTGGCCACATTGACTGAGATGCCTCTGGGCTTCTTTTCTATAAAATGGAAATAACATACTCTGTCTTAGAGGATATGTCTTAGGAAATTAAAATGAAGGAATATACCCAAGCAATTGATGAATTATAGCATGAGTTAATATGCTGGTGATTATTAAAGTGATTCACCTCGAGACATTTGCCTTTAGAGCATAAAGGGTTCTGGCAAGGCTCACTGGCTGTACCACTGTAGCCTTCTATCCAGCTGTTGATGACGTTTACTAGGCCAGAGAGAGTGAGAGGAGGGCAGAGAGCTGGCTTGTTGAAGCTGCCCTTACTGCCAGCTGCCTTTTATTGGAAAGGAGGATTTGCAGTCAGAGGAAACCAAGTGAAGAGGGGGGGGGGGGGAGGGAGAGAAGAAAGGGTCTGTAGGACCCAGAGGAGGGAGGGAGGGCACCATGATCAGGATGGACAGTGAATAAAGAAGTAAATAAATAATTTTTTTAGAAAATTAGTAAAACCAGATGACAGAATATATTTTAGCTATTTAATAAAAGAGTGAGCCACATATGTCCTCTTAAGGTATATCATTAAATGAAAAATAAAGTATCTACTCTTTATCTTTTTGAGACAAGGTCACCTTAGCAGGTTTGGAACTCTAGGTAGAACAAACTGGCCTTGAACTCACACAAATCCTCCTGCCTCTGTCTTCCAGCTACTGGAAAAAAAGCCTTACCTTGTAACTTTGAAGTATATATGTTGTAGAGGAGTCTAAAAATTGATATTTTGTAGGAAAGTTTTTAAAATATAGTGGCTACCTCTGAGTAACAGGTGGAAATGTTGGGGAAAGAGAGTTCTCAAAATGGCTCGTCCTGCCTGCCTGGAGGGTGCCACTCCAGCCAGCTTGGCCTCCAAGACAGGTCTCCATTCATCTCAGCCTTACCTGTTTCTTTTGCTTTATTTTATTTAGTTGTAAAAACAGAACTTTGGGGAAACTCTTAGAGCAGAAATTCAAGGCCCATTTTCTTACAGGGTTGAGAAGGACAAGTGGATGAACGTTCAAGTGGGAGATATAATAAAACTGGAGAATGACCACCCAGTTACCGTGAGTGCCTCCTCTACCGTGACGTTTTCCTTCTTCCCTTGAACTAGCATCAGGGAGCCCATAGCATGTTTACCTCCACCTCTCATGGCCACCTTCAGCTGCCTCACTTTGCACTGGAGGTCATGAGCTCCTCTGGCAGGAAGCTTGTTCTTGTTCATCTTTCATCATAGCTTCAGGTAAAATGAAGCCACTTTGAGAGGTGTGTGGCCGCAGTGATGGGTCACAGATAGTAGAGTAAGCCAAGAGTCCATAGAGTCCCAATCACTGCAGTGTCAGGAGCTGCCTTCTGTCTCCTTTCTCTGACTTTTCTGATTGCAGGCAGATGTACTGTTACTCTCTAGCAGTGAGCCGTATGGTCTGACATACATTGAAACAGCAGACCTGGATGGGTAAGTGATTCCTTCTAATATTACATTAAGAAAATTTAACCCCATCAGAGGGCAGGCATGACACTGGGAACTGGTGTTGTTCTCAGGTGGAAGTAGTAGTTTTTGTTCCAGAAAACTAAAAATATCCAAATGAGAAAAGACAAGAAGCCATGGCCATGGAGTCCTCAGGTCTGTGTGTGAGCCATGGGCAGCAATAATGAGCATTCACTGCATCCAGAATGAACTCCAGAGTCTCCATCTCAGCTGGGTTATCTCTGCCCTCCCTGTCTGTGACTTCTATGCCTTGTCTTTGATGTTTGCAGATTGAAAATATCTGAAAAAAGTTTACTCTGAACTGAATATGCTCAATTTTTTTTCTCCTTGTTTATTCCCTAAAAATAAGGTTAAATGGGTATCTATATTGTTTGAAGATAGTGTATTGCTTATTTTCAAATGCTGGACCGTTTTATGAAGGACAGTTGAACACTGATGAATTTAGGTGTTCATGTGGGGTCCTGAAGACACTGAGAGACGGCTATATATATTCCATGATGTTGACAAGGATGAAAGAGAGTCATAGTATGCCTCTTGGTGCCTGTAATGGCTATTCTTGTCGACCTGACTACATCTGGAATAAACTAAAACCCAAGCATCTGGACCTACCCATGAAGGAGAAGTGTTTTCTTAATTAAATCATTTGGGATGGGAAGGCTGGCCGTTAATCTGAGCCACACCAGTGACAGCCTGTATAAAGGACATGGAAGAAGGGTGTGTGTACCCGTTGCTTACCCTTACTCTCATTGGAGCCCACTTCCTCAGGATTCTGGTATACAAAGACCGGCTGACACAGCCAGCCTTGTGAACGGAACAGCTGCTGGATTCTTGACCCTTTTGTTGGGAGACAGCCATTGTTGAATTAGCTGGACCACAGTCTGTAAGCCACTCTAAGAAATCCCTTTTTTATAGATACGGAGATCCATCTGTCATTTCTGTTTCTCTAGAGGACCAGGAGTAATACAAATTTTTGGTACCAGAAATGGTGCTATAGCAGTAGTTCCCAGCCTTCCCAGTGCTGTGACCCTTTACTGTAGTCCCTCATGTTGTGGTGACTTTCAAACAAAATTATTTTTGTTGCTATCTCATAATGTAAATGTGTGTGTTTTTCAGGGGTCTTAAGCGGCCCCTGTGAAAGTGTCCTAGCCCACAGGTTAGAACTACTGTTCTAGAGAAAAAGAAGTGTACCTATGAGTTTTTAAGCTTCTGGAATAGGCTTTCCAACTTGCCAACACCTACAGTTACTGAAGACGCCTAGTAGTACTGGAGCACGTTGAAAGCCCATGGTTAGAAATATCTGAAAGGCTTGCTGCATGGAATGAAGAACTTAGTGACTCTGTACATAAAACTTTTGACAGTTTGTGGAAAAATAAGTAAAATGACTCTGGTTGTATATAGCATTTCTGGATAAATTAGCAACAAAAAGAATGAATTTATGGATGAAATTAACCAACTACTAGAATCTCAAGATACAGTGGCAAAGGGAAAGAATTGAATGAAACAATTGATTGGCTTCAGATGTACATAAACAGCCTAAAGGTTTCTAAGTGTGCCCTGGAAGAGAATCTTCTCTCCTGCAGCCATAGAGCTCAAGTTGCAGGAAATCATACCTGAGCCCCGATTGTTAGCTTGGCAGAATTACAACCTCAGCGGGTGCCAGTGGTTAAATAAGAGCACTGATTGGTCAGGATCCTGCAATTTGTGATAGAGATGTGTGGGAGGATCCTACAGAGGCTGACTTTGAACCCTCAGATTCTGAAGAGTTATCACACCTGAGGAAGTAGTCTCTCCACCCTCAGCAGAAGATGTATTCCAAGCCCACCTCCTGGGGAAATTAAAACTTTAATGTCAAAAGTTTGTTTGAATGTTTGGCTGAAGAATCTGTCAAAGGTGGCCTACTGAAAAGGGCTAAAGGTGCCTGATGTCCCTTGGTTTCGTGTTGGTGAAGGGATTTTAAGACTCAGAAAAACTGAAAGCCAGAATGGGTGCACTTTGTACAACCTAATCCCACACAATGGGAAGGCCCAGAAGACACCGCCTTCATTAATCCTGAAAGACAATGTCTCTGTAAAAACCACATCTCTCAATTTAAGGAAATAAGAGATAGTGTATTCTAGAGCCATGTTGAGTGATCACAGCTCAGGGACACAGATTAGGTTATCCCAAGTTCTGTGTTTCCATGTGAAAGCAATGTCACAAGGTTTTTGTAATTTCACAAATAAAGAGACTCATAAATTCAAGGCAACTTTAAATACATTGGTGGAGCTGGGCATGGGGGCACATACCTTTAATAGCCCTCAGGAGACAGGCAGACAGATCTCTTGAGTTTGAAGCCAACCTAGGCTGTATAGTGAGTTCTGTGACATCCAGAGCTATGTAGAGAGACCTTGTCCAAAAATAAATAAATGAAATAGGTTGGTGGGGACACAGTAAGATGGGAGAGCTAGTTATCGTGTAGGCTGAGGGTGCTGTTGATGACAGTCTTAGCCCTTAGATTTGCAGAAGCTAAGTCAGGAGCTTCTAAGAGGCTTTCACTTGTTATCACAAGATGTTAGTTCAGATCAGAATAGGACAAAGAATGGCAGTTCCAGAAGCTGAAACCAGCCCAAGATAAAGTAATTAGCCTCAGAACTTTCAAGTTTGTAATCCCTCACAGCACTGAAATTGCATTTGCTCCATCAGGCTCTGCAGATATAACTCCTCCTGGGAGGTTTTGTTCCAGCTTTTTATTCACGGGCATTTTCACCCTCAACACAGAATGCTTAGAAGGGAAGGAGCGCATTTGAAGAGTTTTGTTATCACCTATCACCTTGGCCAGACCTTAGGGTTGGAGATGCTGCTGCTCAGCCAGATGACTTAAATGCAGTGGCTTTACCCGGCCCCAGAGCAGCAGGGGGGCTGGCTGCAGCACTGGACCACCAAAGGCAGATGGACAGTAGTTATTGAAACGGGTGAGCTGGGCAAAGCACTGTCCATGGTAGCTTGACCCATAATGGGCAGCACAGGCAAAGTGATTTTTATGGTGCCGTGACTCATATGACTTATGGTACTGGCTAGTCAGTCATGGTGATTCTAGGCATGAAACAGATAAGAAGCCTACTGCATTGGACCATGACAAGAAAGAATCTCAGCTGATGAGCCAGTGTCCAGACCTGAGCCAGTTTGCAGACCAAGAACTTCTTGAACCAAGGACAGCCAGGTTCCCTGAGGGAGGACCTTGATAAAATACCTGAGAGCTTCCTGTTAGCTTCTCTTCTGTCCTTCTCCAGAGGGCCTATGGTCTCTCCTTAGGGTAAGTGTTCACTGGGGAAAACAATCAGACTTTCCAGGGTGTGTGGGGTACTGCTTCCAGGAGACCCCAGGACACACTGTGGTCCTACAGTTGAAGTAGGGACTTAATGGATTCCAGGTGGCTAATGGAGTTTTGGCTGAAGTCTGACTCAGAGTGGGCACAGCGGTGCCCTGAACTCACCCTGGGATAATGTCCCCAGTCCTAGAATGTGTAACTGGGACAGGTCTACTCAGAAGCTGGCAGAACGCCCACATTGGCCCTGTGACCTGTGCAGCGTGGGCTGTTGTGGTCGGAAGAGCTAAGCTATTGGCGTTGCCTCTGCCAGGGGAAACGGTGAACCCTGGAGGACCTGCAGAGGTTAGTGCCACCATCAGGGACTTGACAGATGCAGGCGTGGTTGCTCTCGCCACGTCTCCCTCTAACTCTCCTTCATGGTGCAAAGACACATGGATGATGCAGAATGGCAACCGGCTGTCACCGGCTTAATCAAGTAGTGACCCCACCTGCAGCCGCTGTCCAGCTGCGGCGGCACTTGAGCAGATGAACGCACCTCCTAGTATATGGTGCACACCGATTAACATAGCAAAGGCTTTTCTCAGCACCTGTCCATAAGGCCCACAAGAAGCA